TCCTCCTCTCCCCCGCAGACACAGGTGGTCCCAGGCTACATTGACGCTGATGCTGCGCCACGTGCTGTGCGTGCTGGCCCTCGCGCTGTGCTCCACGTCTCTGTGCGTGGCAACAAGTGGTGCAGCTGAGAGCCCAGGTGAATTACAGCTTGCTAATGGCGACGCGAAGATAACGCTGACGGGGACAGTTGATCCTGGCAACTGCAAAGCATCGTCCCCCCCGGCTGCTGGGGTAACCAAAGATGTTACCATTTCCACGACGGTTACATTGAAGAAGAAGGATGCCTCCGAAGATCCGAAAGAAATTGCGAATGTACCGTCTGAGAAAATCACTGTTCCCGATGGGTCCAGCGTGACGCTGAAGACCTCACTGGAAGTTAAATGTACGAAAAAAGAGGCAGCGGCTGCAGCAACCGCTGAAACAACGTGTACGGTTAGCGAGGGTGAGGCAGCTACCAGCAGTAACACCCATGATGTCACTGTTAAGTTCACTCCTTCTGGCCAGACTGCTGTCCAAATTCCGGAGACAGAAAACCTTGAAGTGAAGGTCCCAGTTGGGCAAGAAGCGAAAATTATTGCGAAAGTTGTTGCTACGTGCACGCCTTTACCAAAAGCCGGAAAATCTTCACCGTCTGTACAGACCAGAGACCCTTCCGGGGGGCAACAAGATGCGTCGTCTCTTGATGCAAACGTTGAGGATATGGCTGACCCACTTGAGCCTTCGTTAGTTAAAAAAAATACCCCCAACGAAAAGCAAGACGAGCAGGCGCCTCAGGCAAGAACTCCACCTGTAAAATCAGGCACCCCATTAAGTAACTCCCCCACCGTCAGTGCAAATCCAAATGATGAAGTTACTGGTGGAGAAAAGGGCAGTGCTGTAAGCAAAGACCTCTCCACGCCAACTTCCAGCGAGGCAGAGAGCACAGAAACGGACAACTCCGCCACAGTGAATGGCGCCGATCACACTGCCTCCACAGCCACACCTCAATCAGAGACCACCACCGAAGGGGCTACCAACACTGATGCCGGTACGTCCACCTCTGCGGGAGAGGGCGTGAAGCTTCCTGACC